CGCGTCCGGCGTGGCCAAGCAGATGTACCATCGGGCACGAGGCGTCGAGGTAGGGCTGCGGCAGCATGTCCGCGCCCACCATCTCCTTGAAGAAGCGCACCGACTCGGGCAGCAGGTCGCCCAGCAGGCGCCAGTCGCCCGAGCCGTGCTTCTTCTCGTACTCGAGGTACTTGAAGCCCGACGACAGGCCGCGGCCGAAGTCCTTCATGCAGTCCTGGTACATCTGCTTGGCCACGCCGGACGCGCTCGAGAAGACGGTGCCGGAGCCGCTGGGGTACTCGATGAAGAGCTTCAGCTCGTAGTCCAGGCCGGGCTTGGAGACGGCGTCGAAGGCGAAGACGCGGCCCAGCAGCGCGTGGTCCTTCTTGAAGCGCACCTCGTAGGGCGTGCAGCCGGCCAGCGTGAGCAGCGTCTCCCGCACCAGCTTGGGCTTGCTGGCCCACTCGTCGGCGCGGTTGCGCAGGCTCTCGCTCAGCTCGGCCAGCGCCTCGGCGTTGCGCTGCTTCTCCTTCAGCTCGCGCTCCTGGTCGCCGCTGCTCGACACCGAGCCGGGCCGCTTCCCGCACGGGTCGCCCGACGACGACGTCGACGAGGAGGACGACGACGACGAGGACGACGCCGACGACGACGCCGGCGGCACCCGCGGGGGAGGCAGGGCCACCCCGGCGGCGGCGGGCCCGTTGAGCAGCGTCTGCGGCAGCAGGTTGGGCGGCACGTTGAGCTGGGCCCCGCCGCCGCCGCCGGCGGGGAGGCCGCTCACCAGCCCGCCGTGCGCCCCTCGGCGGGAGGAGGACGACGACGACGACGAGGAGGAGGAGTTGGGGCTCTGGCGGTTCAGCTCGGGCGGCCCGTCGTCGGGGGCTTTGGGAAAGCCGTTGGGGCCACCCAGGCCATTGGGCAGGCGGCCCGCGTGGCTTCCGCTCAGGCTGCCCGGAGGCGGGGGATACTCGAAGCGGCTGCGCTGCTCACTCAGCCCGTAGCGCTCCAGGCCCGACGGCGCTTTCGAGGACGCCGCGTCCACATGGTTGAGCTGCTGCTGCTGCTGCTGCTGCTGCACGGCCGCCGCGGCCGCCGCCGCCGCCGCGGCCGCCGCCGCCTCCTTGGCCGACAGCCCCACGGCTTTCACGCCCACGGGCGGCGGCGGCCCCGGCGAGCGGCCGTCCTGGAAGCAGCCGTGCGCCCGCTTGAGCTGCCGGGCGGTCTCGATGACGAACTCGATGCGGTCGGCGCCCTCGTAGTTGACGCAGCCCCGGCACACGGGCTCGCTGAAGTCCCAGATCATGGCCCACGGCATGCGCGGCAAGTCGCACAGGTAGCACGACTGCCGCCGCGAGGACGACACCTGCGCCGCCGACATGGCTGCCGCTGGAGGAGGCGCAGGACGGGCGAGGCGCTGCCGTCGCTTCCTTCTGGCGAGCGCGCTCTGCTTCAGCCGCTACCGCGCCGGCCACCCTTCGCGGGGGTGGGGGGCGGCCGCCGCCGCCCGCCGCGCCGCTTCTGCTGCAGGAGGCGGGGGCGCGGGCTCTCTCTCGCCTGCCCGCCGCGCGTCCGTCCGTCTACCTGGCAGGGCGGGAAGCGCTCCCGAGTCTGCTCAGGCGAGGGGCGGAGGGGGGAGGAGGTTGGGTCCCCCCTCCAGCCGCTGCATCTGCCGCTTCCCGGCGCTTCTTCGGTGTCTCTAAGCAGCGGCTGCTCCCGCTCCTCCTCCTCCTCTCCTCCTCCTCCTCTTTCGTGGTGTTGGAGGCGGGAGGGGGAGAGAAGTCGCCAGGAGAAGGCACCGAGGGGGTGGGGGAGAGAAGGGGAGGTCGCTACCTGCTGCTCCGCCGCCGACCCAAGCGTGGCCGCGTCCCGGGCAGCGCCGCGGGGAGGGCGGAAGGGGCTCGCTCGGGGTTGGGCGGGAGTCGGGGCAGGAGAGGGGGCGAGGGGACGCCCACACGGCCGGCTCTGCGGCGGCGGCGGCGCGCCTCAGGTTGGCGGCGGAGGCGGCATGGCGGCGGCTGCGGCGGCGCCGCCAGCTCCGCGACTCACATCCTCGAGCGCGGCTCGCCGCTCGGATCGGGGGAAGCCGGAGCGCCGCTCTGCGCTGCCGCTGCCGCTGCCCCTCCTCCTCCTCCTCCTCCTCGCGCCGCGCTCCATTCGCCGCCGCCCCCCCCGCTCGGATGCCACCTGGGTGGGGCGCTCACGTCACGGCCGCGCTCCCGCTCCCCCCCCACCTTTGCAGTTCCCCTTTCGAGCGCCGAGTGACTGACTGACCGGCCTCCCCCCGCCCCTCCCCCACTTCCTCTGCGCCGAGGACAGGGGAGGCCACTTGTGGCGCGGAAATTGCGCATGCTCGGCTCCCTGCCCGCTTCCTCTCTTGTCACTCCCCCCCTCCCCGCCCCTCCCTCCCTCCCCCCGTGCGTACAACTGCTGGAGGGAGGCGAGCTGCCTCTTGGAAACCGGCGGCCCGCGCTCCGCCTCGTCACACGCGCGCAGCGAGGGCTATGTTTGGAAAGTCAGACACTGGGCCGCTCTTCTCGCGCCGCCCCCGCCGCCTGGAAGGTGCCCCGGGCCGAGCGCCGCCGGAGCAGCGGCGCGGGCGGGAGCGCGCCCCGGGGCCGAGCTGCCCGCCCGCGAGCGGCGGGGCTGCTGCGGGCGCGCCTTCCCTTCCCGCGCGACCCCTGCGCTCCCTGGCCATGGCGCCGCCGCTCCTGCTGGCAAAATGGATGACAAACATGTGAGCGGGCGGCGGGCCTGCCCCTTCGGGAGGCCGGGCCTGCCTTTGCCGGCTGCTCATAACTCGCACGCGACGGGCGGACTCGCTTGATCGGGAGCCCGGGAAGGGCGGTTTGCCCGAGACCGGCCCACCCGCAGCCCCCTCGCGTCGCGCCTGCAGCCCGGCCGCTTCCTGCCTGGGTTGCCCACGGCTGCATTTCGCCCCGCTGCAGGCCCCCGCGGGATCGGGATGCAAAGTGCGGCGAGGACGGTGGTCCTCGGGGCGAGCGTGCCGCCTCGGCGCCCCGCTCGGGGACGCCCGCGAAAGCAGGGGGCTTCCCAAGGTGGCCAAGCCGAGCGAGCGCCTCTTTGCTGCCCGGGCGGCTGGGCTCGCCCTAGGGCTTCGAAATCGCCGCAGCGGCGCGCCGTCCGCGCCAAGCCCCCCGCCACCCCAGCACGAGAAATGCAGGGCAGCCCCAGTCGGTCTGGCAGCCCCGTGCGGCCGCGCGGCCCTTCGCAGGCCCCCGGCCTGGACGGCGCAAGGGGGGCCGCCGGCTGACCCACGCCTGTCTCTGATTCTCGCTGCAGCCGCCGCTTCCCGTGCTTGCAAGCTTGGCCGCCGCCGCCGCCGCCCCTTCAAAGAATAAGACTCATAAACCTTCCCTGCCGGGACTGGGGCTGCGGAGGGACCCTCCTGCGAGGCTTCCCCGGCGGGCGGGCAGTGATCCGGGTTGCGTCATCGCGCGCACTCCGGTCCTTGCCGAGTGACAAACTACCCGGGGTGAGTCAACATTCCCCAAGGAGAAGAAATGGTGCTACCCGCGGAGAAATTGTAGCATATTATAGCTGGGCTGGCCTGGATAACCCAGTGCCTTGTAATGATATTTACTCAGCTCTTTACTGACGCAGAAAGAGGGTGGGGGGAGGGATTGAAAGAGCCCTTGTTATTAAAAGGGCACATGGAGGATCACGCCCTTTTGCTGAGTGTTAATTCGGAATAATTACCTCACCCAGGTTGTGTAAGGCAACTATCATTAGAACAGGGGAGAAGATCAGAAATTGCACACCAAAACGTTTCTAAAAGCAGGACATTTAAAAATGACAGAAATCTTCCCTGGTGTCTGAAGGATGATCAGATTTTGGATAAGTGAGTATTTAATCCTCTCCCAACAAAATCAGTGCCACTTCCACCTACCTTCATGCCCAAGATTTAGGCTACAGTCCATGGGGAGTGAGCCCATTGAACTCAGCTGGTCTTGCCGCTGAACAAACACAGAGGACTGCACAGTTTCTAGCTATATTCTCCGCATATTCACTCATAATCAGGATCCATTGCATTAAGTGAAGCTGATTCCCAGGAAAGTTGAAATCTTACGTGCACTAAGCCAGATCAGGAGTCAGGCCCACTGAACTTAAAAGTCTTGTTTCTCAGCTGAGAAATGCACCAGATTGGGTTGTTGCTTGCCTTGATTGACTTGACTGGGTGTCGCCCCACCTCTGCAGGCACTGGAAACTTCAATTTGCTCACTCAAACTCTTTCCACTGAATGCTCTACCTGAGAGTTCAATGGAGGACATTGTGCTTAATGGGAAAGATGTCCAGTTGCTTTAGAATCCTGTTCAAAGAAAAGACTTCCTCTTCCAATCACCATGCCAGCCCTTTCATCCCTTTCTGGGTTTGCAGTGTCTCTTCTCCGTACACACTGCGCAGCCTGTAACAACACAGAAAACACAAGCACAAAAGCTAGGCCTAACCAGGCACTTGTTCCAGGGGATACACACAGCAGGAAGACTGATGTAGGAGCACAATGCATTTGTTTGTTTGTTTGTTTGTTTGTTTGAGCCGAGGCAAATGCTCACCCGCAGGAACCGGTTCAAGTGTTCACAGGGCCACAGTCCCGTCTGTGTTTTAAGGTCCACTGGAAGGTGGACATAGAAGCCCCGCTGGGTTCAAGGGATTAACAGGGATCCTGCATCAAAGCCCCTGGAGCTCAGAGGGAATCCCTTAGTGTAGACGAAGCTTGAACAGCCCGTCTTCTAGTGGTCGTGGCTGGAGACAGAGGAACTTCCTAAATAGCCCTGCTGATGTTATGGACCACCAACAAACTTGCTCAGGAGTGCTTCCAAGGGCTGCCATCCTTCCACCATGGTTTGGAGTTGGATGGTCCAGAGGAATTAACCCCACTTTGATGCACAGTGCTTGAACTTGGCCACCAGGCCACTCCAAGCCTGGCGCCTGTCATTGGAAGCTTGCAGATCGCTCAAGGACTTAAGATCTCAGCTGAGCTCAACAGAAAGCAAACTGGATGTGCACCAGCTCAGGCCTCGTCCTCCACTTAGGAGAAACTAATTTCCATCTAACACCCCAAGGTTCTGCATCCAGTGCTTTTCCCATCCTTTCTATATGCCTATTGATCTTCCTGAGGACATGCCGAATAGGGCTGTGCTTTCTTGAAATGACGATGACTTGTCTCTGCTTGTTTGAGCATTTCTCTTCTTGTGCAGCTTTCCTTGAAAGGGACCACTGTTCTGCATGTTTAGACAGAAGAGAAGAGAAGAGAAGCCTGCAACTCCCAGCATCCCCCAGCCAGCCATGCTAGCATCTGCAGGACCCTTTCTCATCCAAGCACACATAGGATTTTCCCCCTTGAGCTCTTCTGCTTGCCTTTATTGCTGGGCACTCCCCAAGGCACCCTCTGGCCTCTTCCCCCACTTCTTAACATTGGTGATGTAGTGAAGCCAGGGTGCTCAGCATAGCGCATGGGGACCACTTGATTAGCAGGGAACATGTGGCTATCTGCCACCCCCTCAGGCTTCCCTGTTGCCCCTGAGCTGAACTGCAGTGCTCACGGTAGATAGGGGGGAATGGATTTTCCTAGCAACAAAGGTAAGTGGAAAGATTGGCAGCTCGCTAGATGGGTATGGGTCAGCACCAGCTGCCTGAACTCTCCTTGGTAGCTGTAGCCATGGGGAAAGCCATGATGAGCAACTGCACTTCAAAATTTTCCACTATACCACAGTTTGGCTTCAGGGCAATCTCCATCTCCACTTCACCAACAGGGTCATTGATTCACCAGTACAGAACAGTTTCAGCTAAAGCCCTTTTGAACAACTAGGAAGAGATAGGGATCCATATTTCAGTCTAACCTCATCAAAGCACCTTTCCTTGTACCAGAAGATAGTGCTTTGTTTTTTCTTAATGAGTCGTCAACCTTGATTTTCAGCTTTGGAGGTTGCCACCAGTACAGGCTCTCCAGACCCTTCCAAGCAGGACGTCTGAATCCTAGAACACCTTTTTTCTTTTGTAATTCTCCAGCAGTAGTAAAAATGGTAATGCCCTTGAACATGTAGAAAGAGCCTTTTGCAAGCATTGATTTACTGCAACTCAAGTCACCCATCAGTACAGGCTGGGCTTATAAGGGCCAAAGTTTCCAGGCCAGAAAAGTGTGTGACTTGTTGAAGGAGGGCTTCAATTCCGGCATCTCTCTGCTTCAAAACAAGGCTAAGTCCCCTGCCAAGCAGAGCGAATAGCCAGCCCTGGGCAAGAAGGAGGCTCTCCTCCATCGATGGCCAAGAAGACTCCACCTCTCCCAGTAGCTTCAGCAGGGAACTCGGTTTGCGAGCAGCAGTCTGGGTTGCTAATGAAAAACGTGAGTGATCAGTGAACCAGTCGAGGGAACACAGACCAGGCTTGGCTTGCGTGTTTCCTAGGGGTTAGCCGTGTGTCTTTCTCCTTTCCCTTCCAATTTAGCATTCTGCTGTTCCCACCACA